TATTAGTATGTAATATATTTAATAATAATATTATGTATTTAATATATTTAATAATATTATTTATTTAATATATTATTATTTAAAAATACAATTACATGTTCTTAAAAGTTAAGCCATCAAACGCAGTTTCAGTTTTTTTAAAAACTAAAAACAATCTCAGAATAAATCTACCAAACGCATTTTCAGAAATAATTCCAAAATGGAAATGAAAACGTTTTCATTTTCATTTTCATACAAAAAATAAAATCATTTTGGAACGAATTCCAAACGCACACATAGTTTTTCCTCTTTAAAAAAAATTGTATTTTTCACCACTAATCCTCCGTGATTAGGGCATACATTTTCAACTGGCCTTGATTGCATCTCACCTTACTTACGAGTCAAAATAATTACAAGTGGAACTAAGGAATAAGTAAACAATACTTGCGGAGCCCGAATGTAAAAGAAGGCCATTAATATTAATCCATAAATATACCCTATTCAAATAATCTATATTCCATTAATTATCAAAAGAAGTCCTTTAATATCAATCTATATACCCTATTCAAATAATCTATATTCCATTAATTATCAAAAGAAGTCCTTTAATATTAATCTATATACCCTATTCAAATAATCTATATTCCATTAATTATTTTGGTATCCGATCGAGTTTCACACACATATTACATCTACATGATATATAAATATATTAGTCTTACTAGTCCTACTTCATATATGCCACCTTATTATAAAACTAAAAGGAATACGCTTTAAATAAAATGTTAGTCCGATAGAGACCAACATTTGACTGCAGTCATGGAATACTAATTCGGTTGAATACATTCGATTTGAATACACACACACACACACACACACACACATATATATATATATATATATATGGTAGAATATAGATTTTAGGATGTCTCGCAGAGTGCTGCACTATTTTATTTTATTTTTTGAACTTTTTTCTTCTTTTTTATTTTTATTTTTATTTTTTTTACAAAAAGGATTTAATGAGACCTCTTCTCACGAACTCAAACATCCATTTGAGCTGGTTTTTATTTATTATTTTTTGCTACTGTTGCCTTTTTATTTTATAAAAGTCCTTGATATTCATCGTGCACTCTTATTCATTAAAAACAATACCTTTGTTTTGAACATAGTCGTTAAAATGTATCAATTCTTAAAAAAAAAAAAAAAAAAAAAAAAAAGTTGACTACTCTAAGACGTTTTTATCCTAGTTGGAAATAACTCCTTAAGCTTCCTTTTTATTCATATTTGCAAACACTACTTGAAATTTCCTACATATATAAAGTTACCAAAATGTTTTATTAGAAGGCAAGAGGAGTGAAATGGAGCTTGGGACCAGTGGAATTAAACAGGGCAGCTGCCTTAGTTTTTTGTTTTCTTTCAAGATATTTATACAATTTATATTTTAACTTCAATTAGAATTGATATGTAATCATTCTATAAGAAAAAAAATAATAATGATGCTCTTACTTGGTCATTTAAAATTGTCTCACTTTGTGTCCTACTTGAACAAACTTTTAGTTTTAATCTTTATTTGGATATGGAAATCTATATGTGAAATGTCAAGGGAAAAAAAAGAGTAAGAAATAAAATAATTGTATATGAAAAAAGTGGGACATATAACTTTTTAGCAAAGCATGTTGATGTTGATCTCCATAGCAAAATACATCTCTTGAGAGTAAAGAATATCAAATCAACTTTTGTTCTCATTTGATGGAAATATGAATCAATACCACACAAATTTATACAAATTTTTTGGACGTCTTTTTGCTGTGGATGGAGATGCCAAAGGGCCAAGTTGAGAGGCCAAAAGTCACAGAAAAATTTGTAGTTGCAAAAGAGTCGGACATTACATATGGACCACATCAGCATCGCAATCAAAGTGGACACGTGGTGGGAGTTTGGACCACCACGTGGAAAGTGGTATCAATTATTCGATTCATAGGACCACTGAAGAAAGATCGAAGAAATTAAAAAATAAAAAATAAAAAATCTTAGGCCGAATCAGAAGCACGGGTGCTACCAAATATTTGACAATTGAAAAGTTGGAATATAATAGTTCTTGAATTTCCGTGAAGGATTATTTTAGAGATTGGACATTAAAGTTACTTTATTATACATCATTTGGATGAGTTTTAATTTTTGGCTTTAGGCCATTTGGATAGCGAAGAAAAAAGATAAATTCGTTCTTTCAAAATTGAGTTTAAAAAAGGGAACTTCTATTATTATAACGCGAGAAGATTTCTTTGGCACCAACGTCGGGAATAAAATTACTTATGAAATTGCTAAATGAAATGATCTATTTGTGAATCTTCAATGATGATATAATTATTTATAAAATTTGAACGTTAAAATGTAAACAATGGACACTAAATTGTAATCTGACACTGATATGTGAATTAGACTCCGAATATAATATATTGATACAACATATAGACCTTTTCCAGAAGTTGTTTAATGATTTATTTTTAAACAAAAAAAGGGTATGGTACGAAGTAAGAAAATTGCGTGAAACTCTTATTCAAAACACCTCCTATTATTCTACTAAATACTGTTTTCTTATAATTATAAGAAAGCGAAAACAATCTTAGAAACATCTCATGAGCTTCAAAATCAAAAACGGATTTTAAAAATAATACCAATCCACCAATGGATTACATGGGAATCTCTATTGTGCATGACCAAAGGAAATCGCCCAAAATAATCTCT